CTGCCGCCTCTGAGAGCGGGCAAGGAAGAGGAGGCTGGAAGGGAGCGAAGCGCCCTCAGCCCTAACACTCTGGGCCAATCGGAAACACATAGCTCTTCTTTAAATACTGCCTCTTTTAAAAAATAACTTTTCTCAGTGAACCCTGGCAGCTGCAGGCCAAGAGTGAAGCAGGCAGGTGTGTGATTGGAGGCAGCCTCCAAGCTGGGTGCCTGCCAACAGCAACCACAAGGCAGCTCTTGACTTCCCCCACACTCAAAGGGATCATTGTGTAGGGTGGGGGGAAGAAAAAGAGGCAGGTCCAGGTCGGGCCTTTTAAAACCCATAGTGACAGGGAGAGGAGGGGGAAGGGGTCGGATGCCGGAGCATGCCTAGGATGCACAGCCCTAGAGCTGGGATGAGCTGTCTCACGCGGCGCAAACAGCGTGATCCATCCTCTGCCCTGGGGGAGCAGCATGCCCAGCACCCACACGACAAACCTGGCTTACGTCCGTGAAGTTTCCATGCCCTAAACAGCCATTGCTGCCGCTGCCAAAAGTCATGATTATCCCCCTGTCTGCAAAGGCAGAAAGAAGTTGTGTTATTGGCACACACGATACCCCACAAGGCAGACACAGCCCATAGGGCTGGCTGGGGCTCCCAGGACAGCAGCTCTGCTTGGACCTACTCTGACTCATAACTTGCTGGGGGGGCCCAGAGGCCTTCAGTGAGCTTCTAGAGAGCAGCAGCCTCTACGCACTGTGACAACTCACCAAAGACAAACAGCAGATGATAGGAGAGCACTGAGATAACATTATTACAGCTGTGTACGCAGGAGCTGCTAACTCCACAGTCTGTCAAGGTGTTAAAGATACAGAGCCACTCACCGAGCAGCCAGGCCAGCCCCCAGCTGAGCGGTGGCAGGAAACACCATGGAGAGGTAGGACAAACACATGCCTATGAAGTTTGCCAGTTGCATATCTGTTATTTACTGCCTTGATCCCCAGCAGAAGTGCAAACAGGGCTCCCCAAGGACCATCAGGAGGGTTTTGCTCTACAAACACAGCCTTGGGCTGATGCGCATGCTCCCCTCCCAGACAGAATGCCTACTGGCCTGCTCTAAGAGGGCTTCAGATGTTGCCTTTCCATGGCCGAGGACAACTGGCTGGAGCTGCAGGAGCTCATAGGCACCCTTCACAATGACTTCTCATTGCAACACGTCACCACTAGTAACTGCTTCTGCCTGGGGAGGGTGGTCCCCTGCTACCTGCACTCACAGAGTACGTGACACAGCAAGGCCCGCTGCGCTGAGCTTCCTGGCCACTCCTCACACTGCAGTCCCCCCTGTACAGGCCAGTTCTGGCACCAAGTGACACACCAGTGCACCCAGGACAACAAACAGAGGAGATCTGAGGGATGTTTGGGACCAAGCTGACCAGTGTGGCACCACGGGAGGACCTATTCCTCCTGCCGTTCTTGATCCCTACCTGCTGTTACATGACAGGCCACAGTTGACTTCGTTTCATCCCAGCCTAGCGCATCTCTCAGGTTCCCCTCTGAGCAGGTGCCCCCTCCAAGCAGTCACACTGCATTTGAAACCCAGCCACCAAACCAGACAGTTCCGGGACCCAGCCGGGTGAAGACACGAGGCAGCAGCTTACCTGTGAGGCAGGCTGTGAACAGGTCACCACAAGACACGTGTTTGATGGTCACTCCAGACTGGCCCTCCAGAAAACGGGACACAAACTGAGGCTGAAGCTGCTCAGTGGCTCCTGGGAGAGACGGGCCTCCTGCAGCACCCACTGGGGGAGCCTGGTAGAGAGAAGCCATTTGGGCTACTGCACCTCCATGCACCAAGATCAGAGCGGGAGAGCTAAGGTGAGCCCCTTCCCACAGGCTCAGCAGCATCAGCCGCACCCTGGGCTGGACTACAGTCCTAGGGGACGCAGCATCAGGGCCTATGTAGTGACTGGAAGTGTCCCCTTCTCAGAAATCACACGTGCAAGCCTTCCTCTCCCACTCCCCTGCCCAACCTCCCCATTGCTCACCTCCCACATGATGAGCCGCCCTGATTTGGTGACCCCAGCCTTTTGTGTCCTGCCAGCAGACACCTGCACCACTTCAGTGTTAAGCATGGGCAGGCGGAGCGGGGTGGTGATCCCGCTCCCCCAGGTGTAGATAGAAGACAGAGGAGGAGGAATTCCAGTCCTGGCTGAGCCACCACGAACACCTGCTGGTCAAACAGAAATCACAACCCCAGATTCCTGACTTTCCTCCCACAGGAAGAGAAACAACACTTGCCATCCAATTTGGGTACCAGCCCAGCCATCCACCAGCAAGCTGGGCCAGACCAGTTCAGAGCCGCTACCCAAGGCTGGCAAGGGGCTGCTGGGGAGTTCCCAGGAGGGGCCAAGAGGAACACGCGGGAACAGGTCTTTGTATTTTATCCCAGAATTGGAGGAAGAAGGACCATGACAGACCAAGCTAACTGCTACCTCTGCCAGCTGCATAGCCCTGCACTGGGACACCCCCCCCCACCCCTCTGG